AGTGGCTTAATTTTGACCTAGACGTGGGGCGGAATTCAAACTTTAATACAGAGACGTTGACAAATGGACAGCTGGAGGTGATTGGAGGTGCTGAGTATCGGGCGTTGAGGGTTCTCAGTTATCTTGTGCCCACGGTGCGCGCATCGATTCGCATCAGAAGAGCTTTTTTGACCCCCATCTAGTACTTCGTGGTAACCCAAATTATCACTTATCTCATATTTGCGCCCTGGTTATCGATTTCTTCAAAGTATGATAATGTGTTTGAGGCTCAGCCCCGTCTCGTCAAAAAGCCATGGTATGAAAGTGTGCATATATCTAAAATTACACTCGGCGTTCATGAGAATCTTCCTAGGTTCTCGCTCTTCCAAGTTATGGCCGCCTACACCGGGGGTGGTCTATCCTTGGTTGATATGTGAGTCAAGCGATGTACATGTATGCCTCGGGTACTGACCGCACATTTTTAGAGGGATGCTGCCTTTCCAGACCGCATATCTCTTCGTCTGTGAGTTTTCCACTTCTATGCAACTGCTTACTCTTATGAGAAACGAGAATATACAGTTTCCTTGATGTTTCTCATCTTAGCAGGCAATCATGCCCTGGTGCGTTCACATATCTTCGTCGATAACTATTGTGCTGACTGCTAGCATTTTCTTCAGCCTATAATGTGAGTTCCGGAAGTTAAAAACATGACTTGCTGGCGATTCCTTACATATTTTCTACAAGTATGCGACTCATAATGCAAGTATTCATGTATTTCTTTATTCACCGACACTGGACAAACGGTCTTCCAGATGGATATTTTCCAAATTTACCGAACCAGAGTCAGATCTGGATAAAGCATTGGACTTCCTTCTTCATCATCCTCGACGGTAAATCGGTCTTCAGTGGTATGGTCATGCATAGCTTACTTTGATGACAGGTGCTATATCTACCTGTATGAACGCGCTTCTTGGCACTCAAGCAGGAACGATCCCCCTAATGTCTCCTCCAGGTTTCCCAGTCATCAAACTTGGTTCTTGGTGATCGTTCTGCTCTTACTGAGGTCACTCGCTTCTCTTTGTCAGATGCAAGCTCTATTTACTGATGCCCCTTTCATGATAGTTCGGTGGAATGGGTTGCGTTCGAGGTGTTGAGTACGATCAGCCTGTCTCAAGCTTTCACTCCCTTGTGCTGATATCTGCTCAGATACCGGATTGGAGTTTTATGATTCTATGTCGACTGGGGCTAAGATCGTATCGGGCTTGTTCCAAGGACTGGCTGCGCGTGCATCAGGATTTTCGATGGTCCCTTTAGCTTCAGTTGCCCCTGCCCTCCAGTACGTATCGGCTGTAATCGTTCGCACATATTTCGATTTGGACGTCCCGTAGGTTCTTGTATATGGTAATGATGTACATTGCGGTATGTTTTTCTATCTTGTTCTATCTGTTCTGCCTATCTGTTCTTGTTTTAGGTGTATCCTGTAAGACTCCCGTCCGATATTGATGCTTGTAGATCCTGAGTTTATTTCCCTCTAGGTCGCAATGAGTATTCGTTCGACCAATATGTAGGTGTTAGTATAGCTCAAGGAGCGTGCTTCTAATTTAACGGCATTAGATACGAAGAAGGATCGCTCGGTGTATTCAAAGCACCGCCTCTGGACGAGGAAGATTTTGAACACAAAGACAAGGAACTTGAGTATGCCAAGGACAGGCAGCCCCGCCAACGTGTGACGAGATATTTAGGGTGGCACTTGCGCAGACAAATGTCCGATGGTGAGTCTACTTTGGATCTGACGCTGAAGAGTGATATCTCATGGTATACAAAGATATCTGGTGGATGTTCTGGGGCGTCCTTCTTGTCACCATTATCGAGCGAGGCAACATCATGGACGATAATAAGAAGTGGTTTGATTTGTTCCGAGTGCTTTTCGAGCTGGTCTCTGCATTCAGTGGGATCGGGCTGAGTCTCGGGCTTCCTTCAGTACATTTTTGTCATCAGTCTCGATTGTGATACGGTGTTGATGTTGGATACAGGATAATATGTCATTCGTCGGTGCAATGAGACCGCTGTCGAAGCTGGTCATTATCATGGTGATGTGCATAACTCCAGTATGTGATTTGAATGGAATTTAATAATAACTTGTGCCGCTAGGGTGCGCGGACGACATCGTGGTCTGCCTGTGGCTATTGACCGGGCAGTAAAGCTTCCCCATGAGCTCATGACAAAAGGTAGGAATGTGGGGAAGGAGGAGGATGGTGGTTTGGAACCAGTGGAAAAGATTACTGTTGCCCCGCGTGATGTGTTATAGATTTTTAGATACCCTGATGTCTATTGCTTTGCTCTGGAGCTGCATGTAGATGTATATATTTTATCGACGCCATCAACGCATTTGAATGTTACTACCTACTTCTTACAGAAGGTATCGTAACCATGTGGAATTCCCCCTCGTTTGGTATTGTCTACGTGTCGTAATCTGTGGACTGGTTAATACGCTTGAGCAGATTTCGTCTTGCATTAGGACTACTAGTAATCATCGGTTCTCCTGAAAGAGTAGAGCCAATTCATATGCCACCGAGTACCTGCCTCACCGCCGTATACCTCAATGTCTCTCTGGCGACCTTCCTTCCACGATGTAAGAAGTGCGCCTTGGTCGGTATTCGTATACGAACACCGCTTTGTCGTAATTGTAATAATTTTGGAAGCTGCAATCTCCAGATAGATAAATAAGCTTAGAATGATAATGAATATTCGACCGTCGGCGAGCATGATCCCTGCTCTGCTCCGCTCCTTGCAGATTGATACAGAAAAGGTTCATGAATGTCCGTGTTAATAAATGTTCTGATGGTTTGTGGTCTCGTATTCAGGATAATAACGAAATAGGCAAACGAGCTTACCGTTTCGGAAGGGACATGTTGTGTCATACATGCCAGGGAGAACATAGTTCCCAGAAGTCTTCGTTGGGAGGCTATAAAGTACGCTTTGGTTCAGCACCGGATAAGGTCTGGCTCGCGCGAATGCTTACAGAATTATCACCATTACTAACGTCTGCGGAAAACCCATTACTTTCAAATGAAGATCACAATACGGAAGAATGACTTACGCGCACGTTTACATTTGTATGCCGTGACAACGTTGTTCGATTCGGCGAAGCATGTTTCATCTGCACGCCATGAACGTCCATGGACCCAACTGTTCTTCGATATAAAAGACCCATGCAAAGGCATAGTAAAGCAGGATTGTGACCACGCGGAATGAGGAGGGTGAACACAGTATCAAGTTGTTTGGTCGATCGACATCTTAAAAAGACAGCGACCAAGGAGACAGCGAGTCATCCGGAGGCCGCATTTCACAGCAGCTCTTCGGGCTCGCAGGAGTCATTTGATATCGGTGCGGTTTCACCCGCCGCCTGGCTGGTCTTCTATCGTCGGGATGGGAGATGGAGATTGCGCGCATCTCTAGACTCTGAATCACTGCGCCTAATCGAGCTGAGAAGAGGACTGTTGAGCTTATCGGCTTCGCTTAGCTGAGTTTTCAGCAGGCGATAGGTCTGCTGAAGGAATCATAATCAACCTGGGTATCAGAGACATCCATAAGATCAAAGTTCGATAGTCCGGCGATATCGGTTCGATCGGCAGTTTCGGCGAATTGCCCTAGCGCGCGCAGATTTTAATGAAGCGTACCGGATCATACTTGTAAGTGAACGCCACAACTGGGAGCCCTTTCACAGGGGCTGTATGACCAGCCCATTCGGGAGACTGGAGCATAAAAGAAGGGGAATGCCGAATATTCGTGAAAAGCAGGCGTCGAGTGATCAATGTGATTCACAAGCCTTTCGAGTTTTGACAGCAGTAACCAATAAAGTCCGAACATCGAATCGATTGATAATGGTCAGGCAGCACTGAGCGTAGTTATTCAACCATGGAACATAGCAAAAAAAAACATAGTTCTTTTGGAGCTGTAGCCTACACCGCCGCGACTCGGAGACGATAGGCACAGCACAAACAAGTAACACAGAGGTCCCTCAAATTAGAGGTAAGCCCCATTTCTGACCAGCAGGAACTGAGCAGGACCAATGTGAAGTACTTAGAATAAAGACTGATCCAGAGCTCATGACTGGATACCAATAGCCTGTTACGTTCCGAGAGACCAGGCCAATCAAGCTTAAATGAAACTAGAATTGAAGCACGGGAAAAGGGAGGAATAGAGGAAGAAGTAGACGCTGGAGTCATTGAAACACGACGCAGGACGATGAGCGATATCGTCAAATGTTGACGGACGGGGTCGAGCCTATGTCTCGTAAAAGAGTGAAGTCAATTACTGGGGGAAGATGAAAGGCATTGGATACTCACGATGGAAAAGATGTCAATGGGAGGGATCATCGACGCGTCGACAAGTTCCCTTGACACTCGACCCTTTGGAGCAAACAACCTAAAATCTTGGACAGACGGACAGGATACAAGCAGGGAGGCGAAGCTCGCTAGTCCACGTCCAGGTGCTAAATAATGTTCGCATTTCGTTCGCTACAAAGATCAGATAGCTATCTGTAAGATCCTGTTAGTAGAACACATAGGTAGTACGAGTCGAACAAGACGCGCATTTTTACGATGTACATCGCCATGGAAGCGTGGCAGAAGAAACCTAATACGCCTTCACTATGCTAGCACGAGTCGTCCGTCGTGGTCGTGGTCCACTGGAAAGAGAGGCTTCGGAGACTTCCGAAAAGTCAAACGTGGGTTTCCGGTGTCCCACCACCATCTGTGTGCGCGTCTTGACATGCTGGCACTCTAATACTCGATAAATCTCATGCAATCTTCTTATGCCTTTTTATTCGAGAAACAGCAACTAAACGTCTAATCTGACCTTGCAAGTACTGAGGTCCAAGAGAAACGTGTGGTAAAATCGAAGAGCGGGTTCAAAGTCGCATGGTGGTCCATTTCAAAGGCGGAGCAGGTAGTCCGACAACGTTTTCTATGGCTAAAGAATCCTGTTGACTTAAGTGCGTCGGAGAGAATAAAAGGCATGGCGCTATGGTGTAGTGGCACCACATTGGATTTTGATTACATTATTCCAACAACCCAGGTTCGAACCCTGGTAGTGCCTGTCTCTTGCCGGTGTATGCTTTTTCTCTGACAAACGGGGCGTAGACTCGTAGAGTCTAGACCCATTAAGTTATGCCATCCTGGCTTATCCAGTTAGCCTAGGGCTGCGCACGAAACCCCCGGGGGGTGTAAAATACGGTTTTGTACCGACCCCTCCCCGACGGGGGTGTTTTGATACGGTAATTTACCGTTACTTACCCTATCACGTGCAATATCGCATGACTGACGCGAGGCACTCGCAATTTTTTTCGAGCATCTTCACCTTCGTGTTATTCTACACCTTTTTCTTTCTCCTGGAGTATATTTCATTAAATATCACTACTGAGCTATGTTTTACATTGTAAATGAAATATGAATGCAATAGGATTGAGTATGGTGGCGATATTGCTGCTCATATGTCATCACATGACAGGTAAGTTACCTCGACGAAAACCGCTCTAGCGGGGGGAGGTAAATTACCAGTAACTAACCGGTAACTTACCGGTCCGAAACCCTAGTGTATCAAAACCTAGGGTTTCGTGCGCAACCCTAAGTTAGCCCTTATTACTTAACAGCGATAAGCTTTGTTGGCCCTTGGGTTAATTACAGTATTCCACTGTACGGTGCTAGGCTAATGTGCAAACCCCAGAACCTTGAAGTTTCTACTGAACAAATATACGTTGATAGTCGGAAGTTCCGGAACTCGCTTGGTCGCAAACCTCATGCGGGGGGGAGGGGCGGGTTCATGCGCCGATAATATGCATTGATGTCTAATGATTTATCTTGGCGGCGGAGTAGCGACCCACTTACACTCGCTCTTGGTGCCCAGGGGAAGTATCTGGACCTTGGGGCTGTGATATCCGTTGAAAATCTCATTGCTTATCAGAAAACTGATTTTGGAATTTTGGCCTCATACATTGGCCATATAACATCTGGGGCAAACACGACAGCGAAATGTACAAGCTTATATAAGTACCCTAAAAGTTCAGCTCGAAAGCTCACAAACTATTCCGTCTTCCGAATCCATCCATCTATTTGTTAAGCGCGGTTACAAGCAACGGGATCTGTGCTCCTTCCTCTGCCTTGCCCGGAACGGTGGGTATCAAAGCGAAACTGGCGGGACTGCTGCAATCTAGACACTCCCTTCGGCATACTGAATTCGAAATTATTCAAGAGCTCTGTGACCACCGATTGCAGCTCCATGACACTATGAAACAATCAGAGCTTGGAGAGTGCAATGAGATGATCTGTACGTACGCAAATCGCCACCTGGGGATGAGGGCAGCCATAGGTCAGATATGAACCGTTACTCTCGCAGCGCTCAAGGGACTTACCCAATGCATCCACGAATACCAGCACCTGGAGTAGTAAAGTCATTAACAATAGGTATCGACCAGAGAATGTCACTGCTTACTGAACGTCAGCCTGTCATGCGTTAGTGGTAACATCAGTGAGAGAAATTCACAAAACGGACAAGATCGTACAGATTCGCATAGACTCCAAGAGAGGTTTGCTTGGTATCCCGACCGTCGAGGAATCGATTAGGATTCCACTCCTCGGCATCATCACCCCAGACTGACGGAAGCCTAGTACGTACCGACCCCATGAGCGACTCTTCCCCAGCGAAATAAAGTATCACACACCGATTGTATGAATATATAGAAGCCAAGACGACCTGTCCCTTGGGAATAGGAATTTGTGAATACGATTTTCCATCCGAAGTGATGATAGGCTCGGAAAGGGGAAGGACGTCGTCTTGGGCTGATTCTCGAAACAGGCAATGCGCCAGAGGGTGGAGGCGGAGGGTTTCCTATGAAATCCATGCATTAATACTTGGAAGTTCCCATTATAAGCGTGTTACGATGACGTACTTTAATACAAGCATTGAGCCACAGCATTGAATCGTAGTCGTTCGAGGTGAGCGCTCCCGGGGCATTTAATTTCGTTTGAGAAATCTCTCCGCGTATCTTGGCTTGATCCTCAGGATGAAGACTCAGCTCATAGAGAAGCCAGGCCATAGTGTTTGCGGTCGTGTCATGGCCAGCCAACACAAACGTCCTGAAGATTTCAGTCAGCCAAGCGAGAAGGAGACAAGGAGTTCCAAAGAGAAGCCTACGCCAGCTGGGAATCGATTTCCGTGTCGTCCATCTTCTTCTTGGCATCGTCGTTAAGATGAGCGAGAGCTGAGCAAAAATGAGAAAGAGGCGCAAGATAAAACCCATCAAACACACCGAGAACATTGACAACGTCCTTCTCGGCGGGATTGGCGTCATTCACCACCTCTTTGAGCTGTTTCTCAAAGATGGGCCGGGACACCTTCATCGCAACATCTCTAAAGTGGTTCAGCCGCATGGTCTCTTTACTGGGTAGCCACTCGAGCGGTACGATCAACCACGCGGGAAGTACACGCCAGAGCGCGGAATACAAAAGTTGTAGCGACGCTGGCCACATCATAGAGTCGCCGCTGTTCGAAAATGAGTTACGCGTGATACCACACCGAAAGCCAATTAAGCATACAAAAGATTGTTAAGCGCCGCCATCAGCTCGGTTTGTCCGCCGCTGAGCGAGTTGAACTCGTACCGGAAAGAGGCTGGCAAGTCGGCCGTTAACCGCTTTAACAATTAAGAGTGCAAGATAAAAACATACTGATGCCTATGATATCCAGCGCAGCCTTGCTCGTCCACTCAAGCATATTGAGCACCCTAGCGTTATCAACGCGCTCGTTGATCTGCTCCGTAAGCTAAAGTAGCAGAATAAGTCACTGTTATGAAAGCCCATGTACATGCCGCACCTTCACAGCTGACGCCTGGAAGACGGCCAAAAAGAGTTGGAGTTGAGATGCTGTAAAAGCAGGCCCGAGGATCCTCCGTTGGCGCTGGTGGATTTCGCCTATGAGTGCAATCAGACAGGGAAGCTACACGACCGCAGATCCCGCTGGCGTACCCCACACAGAACCCAAGCCTTGTCCCATGGCAGCCTCAGTGATACGATTCACGTCCTTTGTTTTGGGGAATCGGTACCCAGACGAATGAAATATGTATTGCAAAGCCTTGGGGTCAGCAACAGACAAAATATCTTGCTGCACTTGTATGTCAGAGTCGTCAATGAGAAATAGACAAGAACCGCTGACCCCGAAACACCCTTTAGTGCGGTATACGGTGCCATATTTGTGATACCAATCCATCTCCAAATCTCCCACGTGCTGACGACTACAGAGAAGGCGTTCATGACCTGATTTAAAAAAATCAGAATGCGATACAGATCAGACGATGGACCCCACGACAAACCAAAGAGAATTGAAGGACTCGGCGGTCCACGGATCTTCTGGGTCGTATATTTTCGCCCTTTAAAGCGCAGAAACGCGTAGAAAAGAAAAAAAAGCGGCTGTAGAGAAGACGAGGTAATGTATGATAGACTGCATATCGAAGGAAGTGCTCTGAAGACAATGCCATTGCGAGCGAGCTTTTATCAGTGCCCCTACTCGGGCCTATCGTAAAAAATCTCTCGAGCGTGGCAAAGGCAAACGGCACCGTCGAGTAACAGCACCTGTGTCAAAGCGTCGGAATACTGTATAATTACGATCAGAGCGAATGAGCTGTGACCTGGGACCTCGCCGAATGAACGAATGCGGAGCTTGTGACCGGGACATTCGTATGAAATCCGAATAATTTCCTCATCCGAATAGAAGATTTGACCTGTATGCAGCTGAAATTCGGCATATATTAGAAACGTAGTAGCACAAAAAAAGTAATGAGGGAAAAAATTAAGATTTTTTACGCTTTTTGAGCAAATATAGCACTTTTTGAGACTTGTGACCCCTCAACCTACCCGAATGAAGCTTTTGGACGTGTGACAGGTGGCCATTTTACGAATACGAATGCGGCCTCCGGACATGTGACATTCGTACTGATCGTAATTATACACTAAGTATCACCAGTGCATCGTCCGACTGTCGACATTGTAAATTGAATTCACAGGTAGTCAGAACACCAACTAGATGTGTAAACGGGCCCGTCGAATTAGGCCCGCAGCGTCAGCTAAGCACTGTCATCAAATTCTTTGTGACAGTTCCATTGTGTGGTGCAGGAATCAGGGCCCCGGATCCGCAAGGGTTGCATGTGGTGGAAAGTCGTCTTGTGCAAAAGTCTTGTGAGGACCTTCCATAGTATTCCTGGATGCGCGCAATACTGTACTATTACGACCAAAAGTTCACCTAACGCCTAACAGGACCCTCTGAACTGAACCAAAATGGTATATCATAACGCCTAACAGGGTGCTCTGAACTGACAATCCAGCGAGACAAGGAGAAGACTTCAATCAGGGTCAGCAAAGATATTTTGAACCATATTGTACTACTCTCTACTAGTTGTCCTGCTCCCAAAATTTCCTGCCGTGCCAATGGTCCTCAAAACATTCGGGAGGATTCTTCTTCCTGCGCTCGTCCAAGAGGCATCTCTAGTGCGTCACTGGCTAAACTGAATGAACTTCGGCAGAGGTCCTAACGCCTCACAGGAGCCGATGAACTGACATCCGACTGAACTTCTTCCCTAACATCTCACATTATGTGAACTTTTGGTCGTAATAGTACAGTATGTCCGTTGAGAAGCGGGTTTCATTGATCACGTCATCACGAATCCGTTGCACATACTTGAACCGAAATCGATGTACTTCAGAAAAGATGGTCGCCGGGGAACGATGCAGCAGGACTGCAGAGACACTTGGGGGTCCTAGTCGCTTGCTTCAAAATTGAAGCCCGTTGTACGGCGTCGATGATCCTTCAAATGATTCGTTGGAGGGTCGCTGGTAAGGTTGAACGTTCAACGTTCGACGTCAGCCGGCCAGATATAACTGTAAACAATCTAATCCATATCCGTCGTAGGTGGGCCCGCTCCTATCACCGCCCGTAAGTTCATAACACCTCCAACGATGGAGCTCAAAGTGTGACCGTAAAAGTACGCAGCTCTGGATAGTATGTCCCGTTTCACGACCCCACGGAAGTCCATGAGCGTCAATAACCCATGAAGTTCCCCCCTCCTCGATCATTCATGACAGCGGCCGCCCCTTCGCCTGATTTGCCTCCAATACCGTGGTATTCCGCTCGTCTGTCGCAACAAAGAATCTGTTCGAAGATTCAGAACTAGGCCCAGCGAGAGATACTAGAAATATAGCCCTAGTAATCGTCAGGTATGGTGGTCTTCGTTCCAAGATCCGGGCTAGGTGGGTGAGGTATTTCGGCAGTGAGCAGACTCTTCGGGCCAATATAGGATAACAGTTCTTTCCCTTATCAAAATGCTGGGCGAGCAGGATAGTCTGATAAACGACTTACAATCACCCCGACGCATATGAGTGACCGCTCGCCAGTAAGATAATACATCTGATCCACCATGATATCAACCACTAACAGCACATCGCCAGTTGGTTGCATGCCGTGCAGAATCATTTCTGCGAACTCGTCGAGGCCCGAACTGGTCGTAAAGTGCATGATGCCCTTAAACAATTATTCGGTCGGTGTGCCTGCAACCGAGAAGGCCAACTAACACCTACCTGTTTTCGATCGTGATGTACTTCACCAGTGAGTAACACCACATCCTCAGTGCGTCCGCCGAAGTCGTCTCGGAACCCATGAAAAGTAGACCGAGGTTGGACCGAGGAGCTATCTGCTTCATGGGAGCAACGACAGGTCTGACGAAATCCGTACTAATACTAATGAAATACCAGGGAGACCATTTTGAAGTGCACAAGTACAAGAAGGAAGGACGTACACAGGTTGGAACGTATGAACGACCTCCCAGTTATTCTTCATTACGATCCTCTCGAGCTCTTCGTCCTCGGGTATACTCAGAATCGATTTAGCCGTGTCCCAGTCAAGCACAACCTTGTTGAGCCTCGGACCCGGGACTTCCCTGTCGGTACAATGGCGATGGGTACATTATGCTGACAAAAACCAAAACCATGGTTTGAATCTACAAATTCCGGTTCTCCAGCACGGAAATCATAGCCAGCATAGGGAACCGAGTCCGCTAGTCGACGCCAGTTCCTCCCGTATCCAGTCAAAGCGAGCGCGAGGTGAAAGAGCACTCCCGCAAGTGAGGAAACGAGCCCAATAGACCTATAGATTTGTGGCGGGCGCTGAAGAACATCCGAAGGCGAGGCGCATATGGGTAAAAAGAGAAAACAATCTCCAAGATCAACCGCAGCTCTGTCGTCGTTGTCGCTCGGGAAACAACTGCTCCGCATTGGTCACTGGCACCGCCGGCTTGAGAATGTTTGCACGGCAGATCTTCCACATTTTCTAAGGGACTCGAGAAGGCAGTAAGTGTTCTCTCTCAGGTTCTCCTTGGAGGACAGTGTTGAGCGTACCACGTGGCTCATTGCTTTTTGCTTGCGCCGATCGCGAAATTGATTATCAGGTTACGTCATATCGACAGGAATCCAGGATACCCCTCAAGCGACCTCGAGTCACCTTAGTTTAGTTTATGTGCAGGTTTCGCTTTATTGTGAAGGCATGAAGACTCGTCCACAACAAGAATAAGAGACGGAAAGACAAGATTATTATACACTGACAATGAGTATCATCGACAAGCAGCATGGCGCAGTGGTAGCGCGCGGGGCCCATAACGGTCACCCCGAGGTCACTTGATCGAAACAAGTTGCTGCTATTAATAACAATACGTTTGTCTTTTGTTCCAGTCAATGGTGAGTACTTAGTGTTCGCTGTTTATCACTTACCACTTACTGAGGCTTTCGAAATTCCGTTTCAGGAATCAGTGTCAACGTCCATTGTTCAACTTTCGAGTCATTATTCAACGCTGGTTCTGAACCATTTAAGAATTGTACTTGGACGCGAACTGCAAGACTCGAACTTGCATTCCCCGAGGTTCGCTGTTTGACTGCTTATTTACTGCACCATTACGAAACATCGACAGGTGATTTGATTTAAACGTCTAAAATAGATAGAAAGCTTTCAAAAAGTATACCCCTGCATGGCTGTTAAACGTGAACTTTGAGGTTCGAACTCACAGTCCCGAAGAAGACACACTTGCCCATTCTGCCAGTCAGTTGTTACTCTCAGGTAAGTAACTGGCAAATAGTGAACCATATAATCCTATTATGTTCTACATCTACGATACAAAATAACAATGCGATTACTGACTCCTCTCTAATGCCTTAACGACATCCGTGATGAGATCATCCCCATCCTCAATACCAACACTAAGCCGAACCAGCCCGCCCGATATCCCGAGCTTCTGGCGCTGCTCCTCCGGTAGTCCGGAATGCGTCATCCCAGCCGGGTGCTCCGCCAAACTCTCAACACCGCCCAAACTCTCAGCCAACGTGAACAGCCTCAGCTGCTCCAAGAACCGGCCCGCCGCAGGGTAACCGCCACGAATTCGAACCGAAATCATCCCTCCGTATGGGAAATCAAACGTATCTGCCGAGGTATCTGTCGTCCGACTGATCCACTTCTTCGCATGAGCACTGACGCCTCTCCAGGCGACTGCATTTCGCTTGTGGGTAGCCAAACCAGGGTATATCACCTCTTCAACCTCCTGCCGCTGCTGAAGCACTTTCGCCAATGCCAGGGCATTCTCGCCGTGTGCGCGCATCCTCACGCCTAGCGTCTTGGCGCCCCTCTGGGCCAACCAACTGTCGTACGCACTCGGGACAGCGCCCATGGCGTTTTGGAGGAATCGTAGCCGTTCAATGAGCTGGGTATGATGAGGAGGTACGATGACGGCGCCCATGACAACGTCTGAGTGTCCGTTGATATACTTGGTCAATGAATGAAGAACGAGGTCGGCTCCAAGAATGAGGGGGGATGAGTAGAAGGGGGAAAGGAAGGTATTGTCGACGAGGACGAGCGGTTTTGAAGGATGTCGTCGTGCGATGGATACTATCGCTGGTATATCTACCACACGCAATGTGGGATTTGTAGGTGTCTCGATCCAAATTAACTGCACACAGGTTAAAATGTTTCGATGGAAAAATAAAGGGCTGAACATACCTTGGTATCATCTCTTATCGCGTCGTAAATCTCCTCCTCAGCGGCCTCTTCCAAATCGACAAACGTCGTCTCAACGCCTTGGAGCTCTCCCGCGACACGCTTCAGGTATCTCCAAGTTCCGCCATACACATCGTTCACGCTGAGAACGTGACCTCCCCTGCCTATCATAGCGAGTACTGCACCAGTCGCAGCACTTCCGCTGCCAAAAGTGAGGGCCGAGCCTCCCCCAGCCTCTAAGCTTGCCAAGAGCTTTTCTAACGCATCGCGATTAGGATTTCCAGATCGGCTGTACTCGTACCCCTTGTGGACTCCGACGGAAGACTGTGCGAATGTCGTAGATAGAGATATAGGAGGGATAACGGCGCCAGTGGTGGGATCTGGTTCAGAGCCGACGTGAATAGCGAGGGTGCTGAATCCGTCAGACTTTAAGGGCGATTTCGAGACTGCATAGCCGTTCGACTCCTGGTGACCGTTGCTGTAGCCGTTCGTGTGCGTAGCGTGGCCGTTGCCGTTCGCGTGATGAGAATCCATTCCAACCGTCATGGTGATAGTGGTAGTGGGGGTTGGTCTTGTAGTGTCTTGCAAATAAGAGATCCATCGCTTTTCCTTTTATTGTCAGCGTTGGGGGGGATTCGCAATAATTCGTCATCTGCTGACTCAGCCAGATGACTCAAGTTCCTTCGGGTTCGTCATCCCCGACAGGTATTGCGAGAGTGGCGGAGATGTCGGCAGGGCTTGGTAATATGCAATGGCGTCTGGAAGTATTCTGGGCGACATTATAAATGAATGAGAAGGAATCAAGACTGATGAAAAGTTTATGCTTACATTTGTGATCTAAGGTTAGGGTTTGTGAAATCCGGGCGGAACATCTCATATTAGACGATGGCTGAGCTTCCTTGGGCATCGCGGTCATAAACATATCCGATGGTCCGTCAATAGGTTCAAATTGATCACGTCGCCAGGACAGGAATTCTGTAAAACATTAGCTAGGAAGTAAGGCCAACAGTATTGCCTACCCAAACATAGCTAAAGCCGGGCGCCAGAATCTGTAGATCTTCTAGCTGGTGTCAAAACTGGGTAGAGCGTCAACGTTCGAGGGAATTTTGGAAAATGAAAATATTGTACTGGATTGGCGACATTCAGTCTCTGGGAACCTGAGGAAAGATTCCGGTTCTAAGTCGAGTCTGTCCGATAATGTGACCAGTACCTCCTTCGTCCAGACATACACGATGAAGAGGCAGATTTTCTAAGAGCAACAATTTAACCGTGTTTTTGAACGCATTCCAAGACAAGGACGGGGGAAAAGGTGGTATTCATTGAAGACGATGGGGGAAGGAAGCAAAGTGCGACATCAAGTTTTGAATCGAAGCTCAGACACTTCGGCATTAAGCGGCATCGGCATACCGTTCCGAATTGATTCATTGAATCACACCGGCCCGGGACGAGTTCCCAACCTTACGAAGTACCGGCTCGCAACGTTTTCCGATTGAATTGTTTACTATCAACTAGCTCGACTCCGAAGAAAGGCTGCAGTCGCGCAGCTTGGGAATATCTCACTATAGGAGAAGTGGCCTATAGCACTCCTGGTATGTAGCTATCTCGGGTCAGGCAAAAACCGTTGAAAATGGGTGAATAACAGATGAGATTTAGATCCACGCTTTGGACTACAGCAAATTACGTCGGGATTCTCTTTAATTGTAAACGATGAATCTCTCTGGGGTCGAAAGTGTGTGTCAAAATTTCATCTAGGCTTTTCCCAACTCGCGATGACTTTGAAGCTCTTCCAGAAACAGAAGTAGAGAAGATCGTAAACGAGCGCATGTTCAAGTTCCCAGATCGGCACCGACACGTCAAGAAATACCGAGTACGCTTTCGCGAGTTAGTCACCTGCCAGTAGTTCTAGTAGTACCGCAGAGTCAGGTGGGTCATGGGTGCTCGTTTTCTGCTTCGAAGCCCACGCACAATACTGACTGCGAGATCTGATTATATCCCAGCAGCTATAACTACGAATATGGATCGTTGAGCTCCAGAGAAGTGACCAGTCGAAGAAGCCACATAAGTAGTTGTACCGACAAGTAGCGGTTCCTGTGACTTGAAGAATGAAGTCATGCTTCCATGAAGGTGCATCTAATTTTGCCTTATCTCCCGCTAGGTTTCTAATCAACGGCGCAGTATCGTCTATCGCTTCTCAGACCCGAAGTTCAAACATTAATTACTCCTGCGAAATTCAAACGCAAGAAAGTCGACGGAATCAGTGCTCTAATTTCATCTTAACTTTACCTCGAAGGTCAGTAACCATGATTTCCAAGCGCAAAGTCTCATTCCAGGCTTCATATCAGTTGAGTCAATATCCACGAATTTCTCTAGGATTAAACTCTGGTGCTATGCCCTTATCTTAGCTGCGTTTCAGATCCTGGGATAGCATCATCAAATTCACCATCGAGTGATCACTTGGTGATCACTCGACGTCATCAACTATCACGGTCCAGGGCGGCCGTCATCAACGAAGGGGCATCTATAAGGTTTACGTTCTACCTATAACGGACGCAGTTGAACTTTTCCTCGGGTTCATTGCTGCAAAACAGGTACTTTCTCCTCCATTAACACGACTACGGGTTCTTTACCCGCGGCTTGGCTCTCTGCCAGCGTTCTGAATGGGATTACGAGCGGAAGCGAATGAGAACGTAGGAACTTACTTCACTTATGGATTCGAACCTCCACGAGAGGCAGTGAACACTGTAGCGGACGCCTGGGGAAAACAAGTCAGCGTCTTGGTCAGACATTGGTCCCGGGTTGGATTTGTACAGGCAAGAGAAAGCACTTCGAAATCTGGGGTTCGGGTTCTCGGTTGCTTTCACGGTTCAACAGTCACCCTCGAATACCAACCGCACCGTCTCCTTCCCCTCGTATTCCCGAAGTTCCTACGACACGTTAAGCACCGCCAGCTTCGCTGATTCAGTCAAGACGTATGAAGAGCAGACATATTGGAAGTTATGCCAAAGTCACTCGGACATACTGCGAAAGACATACAATAGAAAATTATTGACATTGAACAGTCGTATTATCCCCCCGCTGGGAATCGGAATGAACGGACTGTGAGGGCGTCAGGATTGGGCGGGCATCAAAGTTGGACTGTTCTTGAACCCGCCAAACGTCAAAGAATTTATTCCGGAATATGAAAAATTTAATGCACGGTGAACTTACACCGTGACTGCTCGGTATCTATGGCAACAGTCATGTCTTGGGTCTCGATGACTAATGCACTGCTCACAATGGTGGAGCAAACCCGCGTTTCTGGTGCGAGGGATCAATACCAATACCTGAAATGCATACTGATCTAGTCACACGCATATCTAGATGCTCAAGTTGGTCCCACGATGATACAACAGAACAGCACTCGACCCCCCCAACTAGATAAACCAGGAACTCGGTCGAAGTAAGTAGTAGCTGGTTTCCGGATGGAAAATATTGATACAAGTGAAAGACTGATGAAACACAACGTCAAAAGACGAGGTATGTGGGCCTACTGCGTATGTTACAATGACTGCGGAAAATACTCCGACAGAATAGAGCGCTCAAGATGGCAAAGTAAGTAAGCGAGAGCGCCTCAAAAGCACTCCGAACAAAAAGGAATGGAAGGTAAGTACAGCAATT